TCCCCTTTTTTTGCCACGGGACAGTCCTTCCCGTCATTTCCTTGGTCCCCCCGCCTTCCCCTTCTGCTGGTGATCTTCCAATCGTCACAATATACCCTGAAAACCTCCCCCCCCCCCTCCTTATAGCAGTATAAATTTTTTTCTGCTCTCAAATGTTCCTTCCGCAAACCCTTTTTGTTACTCTGGCAGCCAGGTGATTCTTTAAAATTCTCGAAAAAAAACATCCCTTTTTTTCCAAATTCTAATAAAGACTACATAAAATAGTTTTTTTGAGGTCATTTTCTGGGGAATTTTAATGTAGCTTCAAAAATTTTTTTTTATTCAAGGGGCGGGGAAAATTTAACTCCCCCTGATGGAATGGTTGGGGGTTGTAAACACACAGGGGCTCTTTTGCTTGCTTCCTTGAAAAGGGAAAAAAATTGATGATTATAAATCCCCGGGGGCAACATTTCCAAAGTATCAACTAATCTTTTTCTTTTTGGTCATCATCGCGTGCAGGGCATACATGTTCTCCACAATTCATCATGTTCCTTTGCGCAATCACCAGGTTTTCCTCCTCCGTCTCTTGCTTCTATGGTCCACCTATGTTCCTCCACAATCACCATGTTCCTCCTCAGTCTCATGTGCTTCTATAAGTCACTATGTTTCCTCCATCATCATCATGTCCAATTCACATTATAATGTTTCTTCTGCACCATCATCACCATTTTCCTTCAGTCATTATGTTCATCAACAGTTGTGTCATGTTCTCTCCACCCCATCACCATATTCCTCCACAATCATGTTCCCTGCACTGTCACCATGTTCTTCCACAGTCATTATGTTTCCTCCCACAATCATTTTCCTGCACTGTCACCATGTTCTTCCACAGTCATTATGTTTTCCTCCACAATCATTTTTTCCTGCACTGTCACCACCATGTTCTTCCACAGTCATTATGTTCCTCCACAATCATTTTCCTGCACCTGTCTTCCCATGTTCTTCCACACGGTCATTATGTTCCTCCACAATCATTTTCCTGCACTGTCACCATGTTCTTCCACTGTCATTATGTTCCTCCACATCTCATTTTCCCTGCACTGTCACCATGTTCTTCCACTGTCATTATGTTCCTCCACAATCATTTTCCTGCACTGTCACCATGTTCTTCCACAGTCATTATGTTCTCCACAATCATTTTCCTGCACTGTCACCATGTTTCTTGTCAGTCATTATGATGTTTCCTCCACAATCATTTTCCTGCACTGTCACCATGTTCTTCCACAGTCATTATGTTCCTCCACAAGCATTCCTGCACTGTCACCATGTTCTTATCCACAGTCATTATGTTCCTCCACAATCATTTTCCTGCACTGTCACCATGTTCTTCCACAGTCATTATGTTCCTCCACAATCATTTTCCTGCACTGTCACCATGTTCTTCCACAGTCATTATGTTCCTCCACAATCATTTTCCTGCACTGTCACCATGTTCTTCCACAGTCATTATGTTCCTCCACAATCATTTTCCTGCACTGTTCACCATGTTTCTTCCACAGTCATTATTTCTTCCCACTGTCATTATGTTTCCTCCACAATCCCAATTTTTCTGCCACTGTCACCATGTTCTTCCACAGTCATTATGTTCCTCCACAATACATTTTCCTGCACTGTCCACCATGTTCTTCACATTTTCATCCACAGTCATTATGTTCCTCCACAATCATTTTCCTGCACTGTCCACCATGTTAATTCTCCACAGTCATTATGTTCCTCCACAATCATTTTACCCCTGCACTGTCACCATGTTCTTCCACTGTCATTATGTTCCTGCACAGTCATTTTCCCCTGCACTGTCACCATGTTCCTTCCACAGTCATTATGTTCCTCCACAATCATTTTCCTGCACTGTCACCATGTTCTTCCACAGTCATTATGTCCTTCCACACACCCCACATCATTTTCCTCCACAGTCCCCATTTTTATGTTATGTTCCTCCACAATCATTTTCCCTGCACTGTCACCCATGTTCTTCCACAGTCATTATGTTCCTCCACAATCATTTTTTCCTGTCCTGTCCACAATCTTTATGTTTTTTCCTGCACTGTCCACATGTCTTTCCGCAGTCATTATGTTCCTCCACAATCATTTTCCTGCACTGTCACCATGTTTCTTCCACAGTCATTATGTTCCTCCACAATCATTTTCATGCACTTCACCAGTTCCTGCACTGTCATTATGTTCTTTCCACAGTCATTATGTTCCTCCACAATCATATATTTCAGTCCTGCACCACAATCTGTCACTGTCCATGTTCCACTTCATTATGTGCCACACAATCATTTTCCTCACTTATGTTCCTCCATTATTGTTCCGCCACATTTTCCTGCACTGTTCACCATGTTCCTTCACATCACACTGTCATGTTTCTTTATGTTCATTATGTTTCCTCCACAATCATTTTCCTGCACTGTCACCATGTTCTTCCACAGTCATTATGTTCCTCCACAATCATTTTCCTGCACTGTCACCATGTTCTTCCACAGTCATTATGTTCCTCCACAATCATTTGCCCCCTGCACTGTCACCACTCTTTCACAGTCATTATGTTCCTCCACAATCATTTTCCTGCACTGTCACCATGTTCTTCCACAGTCATTATGTTCCTCCACAATCATTTTCCTGCACTGTCACCATGTTCTTCCACAGTCATTATGTTCCTCCACAATCATTTTCCTGCACTGTCACCATGTTCTTCCACTGTCATTATGTTCCTCCACAATCATTTTCCTGCACTGTCACCATGTTCTTCCACAGTCATTATGTTCCTCCACAATCATTTTCCTGCACTGTCACCATTTTCTTCCACAGTCATTATGTTCCTCCACAATCATTTTCCTGCACTGTCACCATGTTCTTCCACAGTCATTATGTTCCTCCACAATCATTTTCCTGCACTGTCACCATGTTCTTCCAGTCATTATGTTCCTCCACAATTTTCCTCACTGTTGTTCCTGCACGATTATGTCCTCCACCATGTTTCCTGCCTGTCACCATGTTCTTCCATTATGTTCCTCCACAATCATTTTCCTGCACTGTCACCATGTTCTTCCAGTCATTATGTTCCTCCACAATCATTTTCCTGCACTGTCACCATGTTCTTCCACAGTCATTATGTTCCGCCACAATCATTTTCCTGCACTGTCACCATGTTCTTCCACAGTCATTATGTTCCTCCACAATCATTTTCCTGCACTGTCACATGTTCTTCCACAGTCATTATGTTCCTCCACAATCATTTTCCTGCACTGTCACCATGTTCTTCCACAGACATTATGTTCCTCCACAATCATCATATTCCTCCACAGTCACCATGTTCCTTCACTATCACTATTTCTGGTAATCTTAGTTTCAGCTTCAGAGCAAACGGGTCACCCCATCTTTGCTCCGCTCCTGTGCCAACGAAAAACACACAGAATATCACAGTCCCTTAGGGAAAGATTGACAGACCGCTTTCTCAGCATATCTAGCATACACATGCATTAAAAGCATACAGTAGCCATCCGAAGTGCTAACACAAACAGTCCAGCATTAGAAATGCAGTTCATCATTGATGGTAGCAGAAGTCACCAACAGATCAGCAGTTTCAAATGCGATCAATTTTAATCACATAAGGGCACCACCAACATTGCGACAACAGGCATCACGCCATTTTTAAAATCTACAATTCACACCACCACGTTGGTCACAGTTGAAAAAAACATTCCAAATGAAATGTGCAGCTCAAAGTGTCACGCCATGCATTAAACTCAGAAGCGACGAAACTATATCTCTTCAGCCTACAAATGGAGCAAAAATGCAACAGCCATCATCTGGCAAAAGCAAAAAATTTGCCTCGGCTCTAAACAGTGCCTGTGCCCAGCGTCCATTTTGACCAGAAGACCATGTTCCTCCACAATCACCATGTTCCTCCTCAGTCACCACAATTCTCTATAATCACCATGTCTCTACACAATCACCAAGTTCCTCCACAATCACTATGTTCCTCAACAATCCTCATGTTCCTCTGCAATCATCATGTTCCTCCACAATCAAACTTGATTACATTGTTGTCATTGTGTCCCACACTCAGATATGTATTTCACATGTAACTTGATTACATTGTTGTCATTGTGTCCTACACTCAGATAAGTATTTCACATGTAACTTGATTACATTGTGTCCCACACTCAGATAAGTATTTCACATATAACTTGATTACATTGTTGTCATTGTGTCCTACACTCAGATAAGTATTTCACATGTAACTTGATTACATTGTGTCCCACACTCAGATAAGTATTTCACATATAACTTGATTACATTGTTGTCTTTGTGTCCTACACTCAGATAAGTATTTCACATGTAACTTAATTACATTGTTGTCATTGTGTCCTACACTCAGATAAGTATTTCACATGTAACTTGATTACATTGTTGTCTTTGTGTCCTACACTCAGATATGTATTTCACATGTAACTTGATTACATTGTGTCCTACACTCAGATATGTATTTCACATATAACTTGATTACATTGTGTCCTACACTCAGATAAGTATTTCACATATAACTTGATTACATTGTGTCCTACACTCAGATATGTATTTCACATATAACTTGATTACTTTGTGTCCTACACTCAGATAAGTATTTCACATGTAACTTGATTACATTGTGTCCTACACTCAGATAAGTATTTCACATATAACTTGATTACATTATGTCATACACTCAGATAAGTATTTCACATATAACTTGATTACATTGTGTCCTACACTCAGATATGTATTTCACATGTAACTTGATTACATTGTTGTCATTGTGTCCTACACTCAGATATGTATTTCACATGTAACTTGATTACATTGTTGTCATTGTGTCCTACACTCAGATATGTATTTCACATGTAACTTGATTACATTGTTGTCATTGTGTCCCACACTCAGATAAGTATTTCACATATAACTTTATTACATTGTTGTCATTGTGTCCTACACTCAGATAAGTATTTCACATGTAACTTGATTACATTGTGTCCCACACTCAGATAAGTATTTCACATGTAACTTGATTACATTGTTGTCATTGTGTCCTACACTCAGATAAGTATTTCACATGTAACTTGATTACATTGTTGTCATTGTGTCCCACACTCAGATAAGTATTTCACATATAACTTGATTACATTGTTGTCATTGTGTCCTACACTCAGATAAGTATTTCACATGTAACTTGATTACATTGTGTCCTACACTCAGATAAGTATTTCACCTGTAACTTGATTACATTGTTGTCATTGTGTCCTACACTCAGATAAGTATTTCACATGTAACTTGATTACCTTGTGTCCTACACTCAGATAAGTATTTCACATGTAACTTGATTACATTGTTGTCATTGTGTCCTACACTCAGATAAGTATTTCACATATAACTTGATTACATTGTTGTCATTGTGTCCCACACTCAGATAAATATTACACATATAACTTGATTACATTGTTGTCATTGTGTCCTACACTCAGATAAGTATTTCACATGTAACTTGATTACATTGTTGTCTTTGTGTCCTACACTCAGATATGTATTTCACATGTAACTTGATTACATTGTGTCCTACACTCAGATAAGTATTACACATATAACTTGATTACATTGTTGTCTTTGTGTCCTACTCTCAGATAAGTATTACACATATAACTTGATTACATTGTTGTCATTGTGTCCTACACTCAGATAAGTATTTCACATGTAACTTGATTACATTGTTGTCATTGTGTCCTACACTCAGATAAGTATTTCACATGTAATTTGATTACATTGTTGTCATTGTGTCCCACACTCAGATAAGTATTACACATATAACTTGATTACATTGTTGTCATTGTGTCCTACACTCAGATAAGTATTTCACATGTAACTTGATTACCTTGTGTCCTACACTCAGATAAGTATTTCACATGTAACTTGATTACATTGTTGTCATTGTGTCCTACACTCAGATAAGTATTTCACATGTAATTTGATTACATTGTTGTCATTATGTCCCACACTCAGATAAATATTACACATATAACTTGATTACATTGTTGTCATTGTGTCCTACACTCAGATAAGTATTTCACATGTAACTTGATTACATTGTTGTCATTGTGTCCTACACTCAGATATGTATTTCACATGTAACTTAATTACATTGTTGTCATTGTGTCCTACACTCAGATAAGTATTTCACATGTAACTTGATTACATTGTTGTCATTGTGCCCCACACTCAGATAAGTATTTCACATATAACTTGATTACATTGTTGTCATTGTGTCCTACACTCAGATAAGTATTTCACATGTAACTTGATTACATTGTTGTCATTGTGTCCTACACTCAGATATGTATTTCACATGTAACTTGACTACATTGTTGTCTTTGTGTCCTACTCTCAGATAAGTATTTCACATGTAACTTGATTACATTGTTGTCATTGTGCCCCACACTCAGATAAGTATTTCACATATAACTTGATTACATTGTTGTCATTGTGTCCTACACTCAGATAAGTATTTCACATGTAACTTGATTACATTGTTGTCATTGTGTCCTACACTCAGATAAGTATTTCACATATAACTTGATTACATTGTTGTCATTGTGTCCCACACTCAGATAAGTATTTCACATATAACTTGATTACATTGTTGTCATTGTGTCCTACACTCAGATAAGTATTTCACATATAACTTGATTACATTGTTGTCATTGTGTCCTACACTTAGATAAGTATTTCACATGTAACTTGATTACCTTGTGTCCTACACTCAGATAAGTATTTCACATATAACTTGATTACATTGTTGTCATTGTGTCCTACACTCAGATAAGTATTACACATATAACTTGATTACATTGTTGTCATTGTGTCCTACACTCAGATAAGTATTTCACATATAACTTGATTACATTGTTGTCATTGTGTCCTACACTCAGATAAGTATTACACATATAACTTGATTACATTGTTGTCATTGTGTCCTACACTCAGATAAGTATTTCACATGTAACTTGATTACATTGTTGTCATTGTGTCCTACACTCAGATATGTATTTCACATGTAACTTGATTACATTGTTGTCATTGTGTCCTACACTCAGATAAGTATTACACATATAACTTGATTACATTGTTGTCATTGTGTCCTACACTCAGATAAGTATTTCACATGTAACTTAATTACATTGTTGTCATTGTGTCCTACACTCAGATAAGTATTTCACATGTAACTTGATTACATTGTTGTCATTGTGCCCCACACTCAGATAAGTATTTCACATGTAACTTGATTACATTGTTGTCATTGTGTCCTACACTCAGATAAGTATTTCACATGTAATTTGATTACATTGTTGTCATTGTGTCCCACACTCAGATAAGTATTACACATATAACTTGATTACATTGTTGTCATTGTGTCCTACACTCAGATAAGTATTTCACATGTAACTTGATTACCTTGTGTCCTACACTCAGATAAGTATTTCACATGTAACTTGATTACATTGTTGTCATTGTGTCCTACACTCAGATAAGTATTTCACATGTAATTTGATTACATTGTTGTCATTATGTCCCACACTCAGATAAATATTACACATATAACTTGATTACATTGTTGTCATTGTGTCCTACACTCAGATAAGTATTTCACATGTAACTTGATTACATTGTTGTCATTGTGTCCTACACTCAGATATGTATTTCACATGTAACTTAATTACATTGTTGTCATTGTGTCCTACACTCAGATAAGTATTTCACATGTAACTTGATTACATTGTTGTCATTGTGCCCCACACTCAGATAAGTATTTCACATATAACTTGATTACATTGTTGTCATTGTGTCCTACACTCAGATAAGTATTTCACATGTAACTTGATTACATTGTTGTCATTGTGTCCTACACTCAGATATGTATTTCACATGTAACTTGACTACATTGTTGTCTTTGTGTCCTACTCTCAGATAAGTATTTCACATGTAACTTGATTACATTGTTGTCATTGTGCCCCACACTCAGATAAGTATTTCACATATAACTTGATTACATTGTTGTCATTGTGTCCTACACTCAGATAAGTATTTCACATGTAACTTGATTACATTGTTGTCATTGTGTCCTACACTCAGATAAGTATTTCACATATAACTTGATTACATTGTTGTCATTGTGTCCCACACTCAGATAAGTATTTCACATATAACTTGATTACATTGTTGTCATTGTGTCCTACACTCAGATAAGTATTTCACATATAACTTGATTACATTGTTGTCATTGTGTCCTACACTCAGATAAGTATTTCACATGTAACTTGATTACCTTGTGTCCTACACTCAGATAAGTATTTCACATATAACTTGATTACATTGTTGTCATTGTGTCCTACACTCAGATAAGTATTACACATATAACTTGATTACATTGTTGTCATTGTGTCCTACACTCAGATAAGTATTTCACATATAACTTGATTACATTGTTGTCATTGTGTCCTACACTCAGATAAGTATTACACATATAACTTGATTACATTGTTGTCATTGTGTCCTACACTCAGATAAGTATTTCACATGTAACTTGATTACATTGTTGTCATTGTGTCCTACACTCAGATAAGTATTTCACATGTAACTTGATTACATTGTTGTCATTGTGTTTTGTTTTTTTTTTCTGTCTCCTTCAGAGTACTTAGAAACAGCTCCTTTTGATGAAGTTGCATTTCATAATAGCATGGCGACTTCAAAGGTAGGGTGTCATCACTGTCTTATTATACCTTAGTGCAAAAAATATTCGTCAGTTTATCACTCAGAATTTGAAGAATTACAAATAATTTGTGGAAGTCTTCTTTTTTTTTTGCTTTTTATCCTTATTGGAATATATACATCTCCCTAACATCAGTGTCTGCTACATCTCCCTAACACCACTGTATGCTACATCTCCATAACACCAGTGTCTGCTACATCTCCCTAACACCAGTGTCTGCTACATCTCCCTAACACCAGTGTCTGCTACAACTCCCTAACACCAGTGTCTGCTACATCTCCCTAACACCAGTGTATGCTACATCTCCCTAACACCAGTGTCTGCTACATCTCCCTAACACCAGTGTCTGCTACATCTCCCTAACACCAGTGTCTGCTACATCTCCCTAACACCAGTGTCTGCTACATCTCCCTAACACCAGTGTCTGCTACATCTCCCTAACGCCAGTGTCTGCTACATCTCCCTAACGCCAGTGTCTGCTACATCTCCCTAACGCCAGTGTCTGCTACATCTCCCTAACACCAGTGTCTGCTACATCTCCCTAACACAAGTGTCTGCTACATCTCCCTAACACCTGTGTCTGCTACATCTCCCTAACACCAGTGTATGCTACATCTCCCTAACACCAGTGTCTGCTACATCTCCCTAACACCAGTGTCTGCTACATCTCCCTAACACCAGTGTATGCTACATCTCCCTAACACCAGTGTATGCTACATCTCCCTAACACCAGTGTATGCTACATCTCCCTAACACCAGTGTCTGCTACATCTCCCTAACACCAGTGTCTGCTACATGTCCCTAACACTAGTGTCTGCTACATCTCCCTAACACCAGTGTATGCTACATCTCCCTAACACCTGTGTCTGCTACATCTATCGTTTTATCAAATGATAATCTTTGCATAATCTTCTTTGTATGCAGGGCTTCGAGGAAGAAGTAAAAACATTTGGTGAAAAGGCTTTCACTTCCTTGGGGCAAGATTTATACCGAGAAATCTCCACTAAAAGAGCATGGCTTCTGAGCTCTCCTGTTAAAGGTAATATTTAACAACTAGGACATTTGATGGGTGCTTCAGTAGCATGCTTGCTTACTAGCCCAGTGGCCATGTTTTAAAATCTTCCCAGAGGAGGGAATTTAAAAAAAAAAATTTACTTGGGCCCCAGTTTGACACAAACTCAAGTGGAAGTTTCGTAAAATTTTGGGTAGCAGTGTTCACTTTAAAATCTCCCGACTCGGTACTGAAATATCATCTTCACAGTGACTGTGCTGCAGAGCTGTGCTTCTGCTCTCTTAGCTCAGAAATTAGCATAACTGTGTTGAAGACTGGCACTGGAACTTAATATATGCGATGCTTGGAACTCTTGGACCTGTGGGAGATCTAGACTATAGATGGATAGCACCATGAAGATGGGTTCCAGAATCCTCGAAGCCTAGCCCTGATTTTGTGATTGCACCAGTCCGTAGTTCAAATAATACCTGTGCCTCAATTTGATCGGGTGGGGAGAGGAATAGACATCTACCTGTCATTTTTAATGTGTAGTTGCCGGTGTGTGTTTTGGGGCCCCATATAGGGCTTTTGTTGGGGGGGGGGGGGGGATTCGCCAACTGTCTTCCTAAAAGGGAATGTCATAAAAGTTGACTATCTGAGGGTTTTTTCTTCTAAGTCAGAATGCATGTGCCTGAGAAGCGAGGAACCAACAGTCTGCACACAGATACATCAGATTAGTAAAGTGGATGCACATGCATGACTCAAATTCTGGAACGAGTCCACAGTTCAAAAGTGGGCGAACAACCAGAACTTTCTGCAGGAGTTTACGGCCGGTGAACACTAAGAAGAAGAAGAAGAAGAGAAAATAAAGCAGAAACATATTCTTAGTAAAAGTACATGTAAATCTATAATCTCTTTAGTTGTTGCTTCACTTCATATTGAGTAATATATAGAAAGGAGATTTTCATGTTTGCAGATGGAGATGTTGAAGTCGATGAAACCTCCGAAAGTGTTGGAGCCCCTGGGGGTCCCAGCGTGGAATCTTGGTCAAATCGACTGCCCACATCCTTAGTTCAGAGAAACACTTCTCCAAATAAACAGCCATCATCCAGTAATAGTTCCCCGGCAAAAAGTCCAGCGTCATCAAAAGGATCAAGTACAGAAGAAACACCTACAAAGGTAAATTTGTCGATTTATATAATTATTCAAGGCATGTAATGCTTGGAGTTCAATGAGGAATTAAGAATCATATCATATCACTCGGGACATTCCCATAAATGCTCCCTCCCCATCTTCAGCAGCAAGTGAAGAGTTTCAATTTTGATGGTACCAGTAACTGTCTGATTGCACAGCCGTCTCGCCCTTCCCTTGAGTGTCAAGTATCGGCCAGATCCCCTGGTAACTCCCGCACAGCCATTCTCCTCAGACAGTAATGTTCTATTTGTACCGCTGTACTGCTCACTCCAGTTTTATAAGAAAGTGCAGCTGGAACTACATCGGCCATGCACTCAGAATGTATATGACCAAACTCCCCCATCAAACCCTCATATGGACACCAGGAGAGAAAATAAAACAGGAAAGACTGAGAGAGACCATCATCAGAGAAGGCTTAACCATGGGCCTAGTAAACATTCTTACAACTGCGGTCATTTTTAAAATTGCTTGCCCCCCCCTCCCCACTTTTCCCTCCCCAGGTTGGAGACCACTGCAAGAAAAGCATTTAGATTAATGAATGTATAAATAAATAATATTATTCATTGTCATGAGTCAACTTTACCACACACTGTGAGATAAAGACAAACAACGACTAGACTGATTCATAACAGCAGACAGGTCGATTACTGGTCAGACGGGTTGTGTGTAGACCCACACGGCGAAACAGGTAACTGAGTGGGGAGGTTACAGGGGGACTGGACAAACAGGTAGAGTGACACACGGCAGTTAGTAGTTGGACAGTCCAGTGAACGGATGTGTTTGTTTGGGGCCCTTTTAAAAGGTGGGAATTGTTTTTCGCTTGGAATGGACTGGATTTAAAACTGTGAACAGAACAGTAGTGGTTATTCATACTGGTGACAAGTGTTTCTGTTGTATAGCCGGATTATAAAGTTAAGTGTATTAGTTAGGAGGATACGGAATTATTGCTATAGAGGCATCAGCTAGCCTCTCATGACTTTGTTCATATTGCGAGGATGAGTTTGTGATCAGCTATACCAGTGTACTGTTGATGTATTTAGACAGTGACTACCTGAGATTAGCGTGCTTATGAACCATAAGAATAAAATCTGTGGCTACTCAGTAGTCGATAACGTTGTGCGGAAGCCATACTAACTTTGCAATCATCATGAGTTCTTAAATAAACATACTAACTTTGCAATTATCAAGAGTTTCTTAAATAAACATTATTTAAGAACCGGAACAAGGTCATCAGCGTTTACATGGTCATGGAAGTGTGGGTACACCTGGCACAAATAACAATTGTACTTGTGTCACACCTATAAAAAGTGTCTGACATTCATATCGTTCATTTTGAAATAAATTTAGATTTTTGTACTTGAATAATTGTAGAGTTGTTGCTTGAAAAAAATAAAACATCCATCGAAGAAAGCCCTAATGCATTATTTGTAGCACAAATTAATATAAGACCCAGTCTGTTTTGGGGAAACAGTATTAGATGTGAATGTGTTGATGCTCAAGATACATTTATTATAGTATGTAAACATGCATTTTATCAACACTTTAGCTCACATTGTTTACTCTTTGGTCACCAAAACAGGACACAGAACTTCTGAGACGCCAGGCTTTAGAAAGAAAGTTGCAGATGGAAGAGGCTAAAGAGCAAGAGAAGACAAGAAAGAAGAAGAAACTAAAATTCTAGGATTAAAAAAACACATCCATTTAAGTACATTGATCATTTGTTCTTAAAATTGTCATTACTGATTCACAGGCAGCAGTGTTTTGTATGTAAAAAAATATGCTATTGTTAAGATAAAATTAAGATGAAAATTAGCATAGCCTTAACCAAGAATGAGTCACCTTCTAAAGTTAATGGCAGTATGAGTAGTGCAAGGTACAGGAGTATAATGCCAGTATGAATAAGTCCATACTATTCTTATTCTCTTTTTCTTGTCTCTACTCCTGGAACGAATTATATGCCTGGGAAGAGAGGAAGAGGAAGGCCAAGGAGAAGATGGGTGCAGGATGTGGCAGATGATCTCCAGATGGGTGTATCAGACGCAGGACATCTTGCTCATGATAGGAAGGTTTTCCGGAGGGTTGTTATGGCAGCGAGGTTCCGTGAGGGACATGCTACTGAATGAATGAATGAACTCCTGGAACGCCTCGCGGCATCAGGGCAGGAAGGGATCTCTACAACAGGCCCTTCTATTGGCTTCATATAAATTACTTTTTAGTGTCTGAACCGGAGCCTGCAGTATACTTGGATGTATGTTCATCTTTTCCTGCCTATTACTAATCTGATGCTCACAAATTTTGTCTGATATGTAATCTGTTTCTAGTATAAATTTAGCTAGTCCCATAGCAATGATGTAACCCACTCCATGTTTGTTAGTCTCATTCGGTTGGGTGCCTTTCTTTGTTATAATATAATTTTTATGTATTTTATTTATTACTAGCTGTACCCGGCCACGCGTTGCTGTGGCATAATTTGGCTAAATGGAAAATAGAGAACGTAGAAATCTGTCTTTGCTTCACGCTAGCGATGTACAGTGCAACAGCTAAACCACAGCTAATAAAACTTTGAGTGGGTAAGGCAGTTACTGTAACTTAAATCTATCTCAGTAAACAGTTTATTTTAACCACCCATCGCCCAGTTCACCTACTACTTTCTCGCTCATCAAAGTAGTTGGAAAAATTACCCTAGTGAAAAGCAATGAAAACAGGAAAAACACACCATAATTACGAAATGAACACATTTGCTAATTGTAAACTACCCTGCACACGTTGCTACAGTAGAAATTGAAAGGAAAATCGCTTTAACAAAATGTAATTATATTGGATCATTGTGCCAATTTCATTTCTTTAGGAAAAAACAGGCAAATTAAAATGACAATGTGTTTACTGAAGTGCTTTCAGGTAAACAACATTCTTTGTTCTTCCGTCTGGCGCGTACACAAATAAATCAAAAGGTTTTCCGACGCGAGAACTGGTCACATATAGCTGTCCATGTGAAAAGCATGGATGTTCCAAATGTAGTCCACACACTTGTAGCGATTGTCCCTGTGATTTGTTTATGGTCATTGCAAAGGCGAGTCGCACCGGAAACTGCAAGCGTCTGAATTCAAATGGCATTTCTGTTGGAATCATTAGGATGCGTGGCGATAGTATATTCTCGCCCATTTAAAAGTGTACCTTCGATGATATTGGGCATCAGCTTTTTCACTGAAAGCCTGGTACCATCGCAAAGTCGTGGCGGATTGATGTTTCTGAGAAGAATGATAGGCACGCCAATTTTCAAGGTTAAAACGTGGGTTGGCATGCCTGGCAAATCAAGTTAATTCAAGAACTCAGTTGGATAATTGACAACCTCATCCTTATTCATTACAGTATCGATAGACTTATACGTTGTCACTCCGCCTGGTAATTTGTCTTGGATGTTCAGAGTCATGGCATACACATCCTTGTTTTTAGCTGCTAAGATAGCACGTTCACTGAGCCACTGATGATTTATGTAATTCTGTGTGATATTAGGGAAAACTTTGTCCCATATATTGAGTTGACATACTTTTAGTACTTTACCAATTGCAGAATCATTGTTGATATTGCATGTTGGTGTCTCAGTGATATGCATATTGAAAGGCAACTTCAGTGCTGAATGCGCTGTTCGGCCACCATCAAAAGAGTTGCGGTAAATCCAGAAGATGCAATTGCCAGTGCAATATTATTTTGTGACCGTATGGATGCCAAAATATGCGAAATGAGAAAAGTCTTGCCTGTGCCTCCGGGTGCATCTATGAAATACAATCCTCCGTGTTGTCTTGTAACGGCATGCATAATTGTGTCATATGCTATACGTTTTTCTGGAACCAATTTTGGCAGATTTGTTTAAACAAATGTACCTAATTCGGTGACATCAAAGTGTGTCTCTCGTTGCAACTCATGATCAAAAAGGTTGTTTGCAGATCGTTCTGGTGGAGCCAGTCCCAGCTGAACCAGTGCTTTATTAGTTATTGCCAAACATATGTCCTCAATTCAAACCAATGCCTAATTATATACATTTGGTGTGAATTGAAGGTCCTTATCTTGCTCCGTTTCACGCCAGCGATGTAGGATGTCTTCACTAATGTAGTCTTTGTATTTTTCCCAAAGCTCTTGTGGATTGGATGGGAAGCAAGGTGTTAATATTATTGCAAATAATGTGCGTATTTGCTGTGGTCGAGCAGTATTCGAAGCATCAGAAGTGTCCCAATATGCATCATTTTCAAGAAGATTTAATTCTTGGCAAGCCTCACAGTAAGTAGCACATACTTTACCATAAACTGTTCTCAAGTCCTGGAAGGATTGTCGGTCCCCGTTTGTTAAGTAATCGCAAGTAAAAGCAATCTGCATTTTTGGGATGAACGGCCTAAAACATCAGTAGAATATAAAGTAGGATGTCCGCCAACCGATTGACCTTGCTTGCAAGGTTGAAACTTTTTAGCTGATGCATTCCACGTGTAGTATGTTGGCAGGTCAGAATAAAGTAGTGTCTTTGCAAACATATCAACTCTACACAATGAGAAAAATCAGTTAACGTGGTTGGCGTTGGTAACAATGCTATTGCATGTGCATTTTCTGTAGTGAAGTACACGCGCTGTCCATTGTCAAGGTGCACTGCCAAATGAACAACTGCTGGATGTCGTTCATGAATTGGAAATGACAAAATGGGCCATACCGCTTCATTGCTACTAATGTAGCGCCCCAGCTGATATTGCTTGATTTCATCAATAGATGCAGCTGCATGTCCCACTCCAAAGACTGCCACATTGCCTCCTTTGTTGACATATTTGCAAATGTACTTATGTTTGCCAAGAAATGTGTCGACTGGCCTGTGTCACCTGCTACCAATGATGATAATGGTTTGGTTGGTGAATGTAATACTGGCAATTTAACTTTTCCACCAGCGCAGCACATACCCGACGTGTCATTCTTAAATTTAAAGGCACTGCAATGTACGCACAATT